GGTGCCTATAAAATAGTGAACAGCCAAACGAACTGTGACATATGAAAAAAAAGTAAATATTGCTATGCTATAAAATGAAGAATTCAGTGTGTTAAGGGCTGTTAAGGGGTCCCTGAACTTGTCTTTTTGAGCTGCCATATTTTCCAGAAACACTGGATGCAGAGCATGCAGGAGGCCCTGAGTGTGTCAAGTTCACAGAGCTGACATAATTTGTTGTGGTTCCCCAAGCTGGACTCCCTATGTGTCCTTGGGAGGCAAGGAGGTGCCCGCCAGTCTGTGCCAGGTTGGGATAAGGCTTGTGCAGTTGGGGTCCTTTGCAGATAAGTGGACCCTCCTATCTTCATAGTCTAGGAGTCCTCTCAAGGGAAAAAAATGCAGCTTTTGCTAGTGCCTTGCTCCTTCCCTTCCGGAAGGGTTACTGCACCTTCCCCCTCTCATGCCACACCACTTCCTGTTTTCTCCTTCTTTTATTGTTCAGTTATAAATATACAAACTTCTGTAAGGACTGTGAACCTTTTGGGTTCCACATGCATGTTCATTTCTCTTGTAATAAACCTGGTTTTCACATAGGTCTTGTGACATTGTGATTGCCTGCTGACAAGAGGAACTGATGCAGAAGGAAATCTGAAGAACTAGGAAAATAATACAGACAATAACTCCAACATAAATAGAAAAAGCAAAAATAAGCCAAAGTGAATGCCACATAATTCCAATGACCAAACTCGGCCAAGGAGAAGGGGTAAGCAAATGACCTCTCACTCTTTTTGCAGAAGTGGACAACAGAAATCTAACTACTACAAGACAACCTTTATCTATATTTGGTTATGTGAGGGAATAATAATAATAATAATTATACCTAACATTTATACTGCTTACTGTGTTAGGTGCTGTATTAAGTGCCTTATAATTATTATCTCATTTGATTCTCACAAAAACCTGAAAGGTTGGTGCTATTACTATCCACATTTTACTGATAAGGAAGCAGAAGCTAAGTGATTTACAGATAGTGTCTGAGGCCACATTTGAATTCAGGTCTTCCAAGACTCCAATCCCAGTGCTTTATCCATTATACCACCTAGCTGCTCCAATTTAGGGAAGCTAATTGTCTAGTGATAACAAGGTTGAGGAACATAAAAATGTGACTTCTAATAATAACCATGAAACACGATTCCTTACACAGTAAAAGTATTATGATAGTCCATTTCCATGAAGTTTACTATAGAATGGACTTTGACAACATTCTACCAAAGTAAATCATTGTTTTGAGAAATTCATTAGTATTCTTCAGTCAAGGAATTCTGCAGTGAAGACAGGATCTTTTCTTAAATGAATTATGATTTTTAAAAATTGCACAAAACCTTAAGAACTGAAAAGCTATCCTAACCTAACTTCAGCAAGTACTTCATTCTTTTCAGTTTAATAAATTCCTTAAATAGAAGAATTATTATGCATTTAGGCCAATTAAGACAAATGTTATCAGTTTTTCACTGAATGTGTATATACATAAAAATATGTATGGACATACTCATACATAGGAGTGCACACACATACACCCCCTCATAAATATCAAATAACTAGCAGAAGACCAATAACAAGGTGATACAGTAGGGGCAGAACTAATTAGATGACTGGATTATATCTTGTATCCTTTTGTTTCCTAAGTTAATTAAGCCTCAAGAGATCTTTCTTCTAGCCTCCCAGTGGGGACAGAGAGCCTAGGAGCCAGAGATGTACAAGAAACACCTAGAGTTGAGTGGTAAGGTGAAATAAGGTGACAGAACTAATTGGATAATTGAATTTCTGCTTAAACATCTACTTCAGCTTATACCACTGTATGACAGAATTATAAAACTACCATTTAAAGGCACCTAAGTAAAATAGATCCTCTCATCACCATAAAAGCCCTAGCTCCATTCAGAGTCCTACAGAAACAAGTTCTGACACAACTATTAACCATAAGAGTTAGCCATGAGTTATGTACAAGATGAAGGACTGTTACCTTCCTTAAAGGAAGATTGCTAGGCAAGGAGAATTTTGCAGTGATCTCCAAAGAGTAAGTTATGTTTGTTTCTGCTAGTAACTAAAAATAACCATGTACGCACAAAGTGCAAGATCTACCCCCTACAGTAGGAAACTAAAGGGATAGAGACTCATATTTTTATCTATCTCCCAGTTATCAAGGCAAATGAAGAGTAGGTAAAGAGACAGAAGCAGTTCTAACCAGTATCATAAGGCTATCATAAAGAATGCAGCCCAAAAGAGTATGGGAAGAAGTACCACTGAGCACTTGGAGCTATGAAAGAGGTACAGTGCTCTGGTAGGGAAAGGTGGACCATCCCAGAAGGAATCTGCTTCCCGTACTAAAAGGAATGATGATACAGAGCCACAAGTATCATGAGGCAAGGAGTCATAGAGCAAAAGACACAGGAAGAAGAGACAATTAGGGATAGTTCATAATTCCCTGAGGGGTGCCAACGCTGCCTTGACTGTCAACAAATTAAGGAGCTCAAGTCTACAACCCAAGGTCCAATAACTTACCCTTCTACTCCTGGTATAACAGGAAATTCTGAATACTTAGAAAGGGAATCAATGAAATGATCACAAACAGAATCAGCATGGCTTCATCAAGGACTTTACGCTAGACTAACATTTCATTTTTTTGACAGGATTACTAAACTGGACAAAAAAGTAGAGTGTTTCTGCTAAACCATGCCAGGATTTCAATAGAACATTTAACATAATGTCTTACACTATCCCATAGACAAAATGGAGAAAGATAAGGCTACAGTGAGGTTTTGATCAAGAATAAATCACCAGAGGCCAAGATAAGGCAATAATAGGTTATTGATATTCTGGAGGTTATCTATAGTGAAGACCATAGGAACCTGTCCTGGGCCCATTGATATCCCACCTTTTTACCAGTAACTGGTATGAAATTAATAAGGCATGTTTGTCAGTTTTGCAGATAAAAAAATCTTGGAGGAATAGCTAACATCTTGGATAATAGGATCTGAAAAAAATTCTGGAAGAGTTATAGCAATGGGTTGAATGTAAGAAAGATTAAATTTAATAGTGACAAAAGTAACCCTGCTTTAAAAAAAAATCAACTTCATGAGTAAAGGACAGGAAATAAAAATAAAAAGGAAGTTTTAGCTCATTCCAAGTTGTATATGAGGCAATACTGTGCCATGACAGCCAAAAAAGATAATACTACCTTTCACGGTAATGAAAGGACGAGTCCAGAATAAAACAGGTATTGGTTTCTTTGGGTCAGAACACAACTAGGAAACTAGTTTCTGCAGCAGTATTTTAGAATGAACACAAGACAAGACAGAGTGCGTCCACAGGGGGGTGACAAACAGCCAGCATGGATTCATCAAGGACTGGTCCTGCCAGACTTTTTTTCCATTTTGACAGGATTACAATAAACAATAGATGAAAATACTGTAGATATAATTTAGCTAGATTTAAAATTCTTCTTTGATAAATTGCCTCACACTATTTTTACCAAGATGGAAGGATATGGATTAGATAGTAATACAATGAGATGGATTCATAACTGGATGACTAAACTCAAAAAGCTTAAAGGTTCAAAGTCAACGTGACAGAAGGTATCCCATAGTATATCCAGGGATCTGTTCTTGGCCCTGTGCTGATTCATATTTTTATCAATGACTTGACTAAAGGCATGGATGGCATGACCATCAAAAAGGATACCTAACACAATAAAAGATGGAGTTAAGATCCAAAAAGACCCTAACAGACTAGAACACTGAGCTCAATCTAATAAAATGAAATTCAATAAGGATAAATATAACTTCTTACATGCAAGTACAAGAAAAATCAAATTCACAAGTACAAATAGGGGGAGGCACTGTTAGATAGCAGTTGTTCTGAAAAAGATCTGGGGCTTTGATGGATTGCAAGCTCAATACATGTCAGCAATATGTGACAGCCAACAGAGCTAATGCGATCTTGGACTATGTTAAGAGAACCACAACTTCCAAGAACCAGAACATTGTACTCTGTCCTGATAAAGCCTCATTGAACTGAGTTTATTTCTGGAATATCAAGTTAAAGGATACTGAGCAGTACCCAGAGAAGAGCAACTACAATGGTGGAGGGCCTTACCCTCTATCATATGAGGATCAGTTTAGAAACTGAGCCTGCTTAGCCTGCAAAAGAAAAAAAAAACAGGGCACAGGGGAGAACCAATAGTTATCCTCAAGTAAGTGAAGGGTTATGATGTCACGGAGGGATTTTATTTGTTCTTTTTGGCCCCATAGGGCAGAACCAGGAACAATGGGTAGAAGTTTAAAGGAGGTAATTAGCTTGATATCAGGAAAAATGTATTAACAATTACAAGTAGCCACAAGTGAAACGGGATGACTTGAGGATGAGATGCTTCCCTCTCCCTAGATGCCCATTTTTTGGGTATAGTATAATTGAGATTCTTTTTGAGAGGGATCAAAATGGATGACCATTGAGCTTTCATCCAAATCTCAATTTTACACTTCTGTGAAGCTAGGGATAACCAAAATGGTGAGATGACTAAAGAATATGCCAATCAAAGACTAGCTAAAGAGGCTGTTTACTTTGAAGGAGGATATTTACTTTGAAAGAGGAAATTAGAGGGACAAATAAGATTAGGTTTAGTTTTGTTAGCCCTCGGGGGCAAAACTGAAGAGAAACTGGCACAGGTGGCAAAAAGTAGATTTAGACTGGATTTAAGAAAAAAACAGGAGCAGCCTACAAGTAGACTGGGATGCCTAAGGGGGAAATGGATTTCCCCTAAAATGAGGTCTTCAAGCATGGGCTGAATACTTTTTAGAAATTTGTAGAAAGGATTTTTTATTAGACTAAATAGCCACTGGTATCCCTTTAAACTCTTAAATTCTGTAATTCCAGGAAATTATTTGTAAAATAAGACATCTGCATAATTCAGAGCAATAGTTAGTATAATTTTACATTTTAAACCTAGTAATGCTGAATTTTTTTACCTGCCATTTCTTTTCAATGCAAAGGTGATACCATCCTTCTGGAAAGGAAGTAATCTTGCTCTTAATTTTTCAGGTAAAAACAACAGCTGATCTTCAAACTCACTTTTCAAACAAGAATTTTTAGGCGTAAGAGATTCTTGAGTACTAGATATGTTGTTCATGTTGAGCCTAAAAATAAAATTTTAAATTGCAGTAAGAATTAAGCATATTACAGAATAAAACATTATCATGATAACAAATCATTTCTATTCACATAGTTGATCATCATTGCAAAATCTCATTCAAACCTTCAAAAATATAATTAAATATCTAATTTTTCTTTAATCACTAAAACCTGTTACAAAATACCTTGTTACACCATGTATTTGGTTATCTCCTATTGAAATATATTCTTTGAATGAACAGTAAGTACTACACAGTATTTTGAGAGATATACAGATCACATTTTTATGCATATAAGAGGTGTTTAATAATTGTTTGGCAAGTTAAACAGCACTGAGAACAAATCAATTGGTAATTTTTAGTTAACAAATTAACATGATACATGAGTTCAAAATTCAATGATCAGTTCATTATTATCCAATTAAACAAATCACTAATATGAGAAATTCAAATTAAAACACCACCACCAAAGTTTCACCTCATAGCACTGCATGACAAAGCACAAAAAAAATAAATGTTGTGGGAAGAAAGACACAGTAATATACTGTTGGAAGGGCTGTGAAATGGTCCAAACCTGGTAGGGACTGTGAAAAAAAGATAATTAACTGTAAGTAGTAATAACCTTTGAGTGACAGTTTCACAAGGCATATACTCAGAGGTCCAAGTTAGATGGAAAAGTATCACATATGCAAAAAGACTTCTAGCAACAATTTTTTTGTAATAGAAAATCACTGGAAGGAAGGACAGAGTCCATCAAATGGGGGACAGTTGAACAAACTACGGTATATGAATGCAACATACTAGTATTATGGTATTAGAAAGGACAAATCAAGAAATTCAGAGAAATATAGGAAGAATAGTATGGACTAATGAAGAGCAAAGTAAATAGAAGACTAATACAATTACTTTAATAATGTGCATGAAAACCACACTGAAAGACTTCACAACTCTGATGAATGCAGTGACCAGTGACTTCAGAGAACTTGCTGAGTCCCATGCATGTCTCACACCTAAAAGCAAAGAGGTAGTAGACTACAGATACAGAATAAGATGTATATTTTCAGGTACTGTCAATGCCTTGATATGTATTTCACAAATATATGTTTCAAAAGAGGATTTTATTAGAGATTAGTTACTAGGAAGTGATGACTTTTTTTTAAAAGATCATTAATAAAACAGGTTGTTGTTGTTTTAAAGATAAAAGATCGCTAGATTGTGAAAGGCTTAAATATACCAGGGAGAAAGCAGAACATGGGTGATGATATGCAGGGGAGATTAAGAAGCAGGTAGACTGGCAAGAAAAGAACCAGTAGAGAGCAGTATCACAAAAATTTAGGATGTAAAGTATCAAGGAGGATGATAAACTGTGTCAAAAGATGCCAAGCTAGGTCCAGAAGGGCTGAGACAAGGACAGAATTTAGCAATTAAGAGATCACTGGTAAGTAGGAAAAGAATGATTACAGTAATCAATCAATCAATCAACAAACATTTATTAAGCACCTATTTTGTGCCAGGCACTGTAAGTGATGGGAATACAAAAAGAAGCAAAAGACATTCCCTGCCCTGAAGGAGCTCACAATCTACTGGGGGAGAAAACGTGTAAACAAACACATAGGAACTACATACAATGTAAGTAGGAAATAATAGAGAGGAAAGGCACTATTAAGACGGATTGGGAAAGGCTTCTAAAAGTGTAAAAGATGGGAATTTAATTGGGGCTTGAAGAAGTCAGGGAAGCCGGGAGGTAAAGATGAGGAAAAAGAAAGTTCCAGAGAAAATACCAGGAGCTGAGAGATGGAGTGTCTTGTCCAGGGAACAGCCAGGAGGCCAGTATCACTGGACTGAGGAGTATGTGGTAAGGAATAAGGTGTAAGAAGACTGGAAGGTGGGAGGAAAAGTAGGTTATGAAGGACACAGAATGCTAAATAGGATTTTGCATTTGAGCCTAGAAGCAATAGGGAGTCAGGGGGATTTACTGGGTAGGGGAGCAATACAGTCAGATCAATGCTTTAGGAAAATCATTTTGGAGGGAAGACTGCAGCAGAGCTACCCACCAGCAGTTTATTGCAATAGTCCAGGCAAGAGCTGATGGGGGCCTGCACTCAAGCGTGGGCAATGTCAGAGGAGAGAAGGGGACATATTTAAGATATGATAGACTTGGCAACAGATTGAATATAGGAGGTAAGAGAGAGTGAGAAGCTTAGGATGACTTCTAGGCTTTGAGCCTAGGGAACTGAGAAGATGGTGGTACCTACAGTAAGAAGGAATGGGAGGAGGGACAGGGTTTAAGAGGAAATATAAGTTTGGTTTTTGGACATGCTGAATTTAAGATGTCTACTGCACATCCTGTTCAAGATGTCTGAAAAGCAGCTGGAGATTAGGTCAGCAGAAAGGATGGGGCAGGAAAGGTAGATTTGACAATAATCAGCCTAGAGGAGTAGTTAATTCCATGGGAGCTGATTGAGATGACCAATTAAAGGGAGAAATGACCAACAGAGGGAGAAAAGAGACCAGGACCCAGAGTGACACCTACAGGTAGAAGGCATGATCTGGATGAAGAGCCAGAAAAGGTAAATGAGGTCAGACAGGTAGGAGGAAAACCAGGAGAGAGTGGTGTCCAGAAAATGTGTAGAAAAGAGAGTATCAAGAAGAGGGTGATCAACAGTTTCAAGGCTGCAGAGAGGTCAAAGAGAATGAAGATTAAGGAAAGGCCAATGGCTTTGGCAACTAACCCATCACTGGTAACTTTGGAGAGGGCAGTTTTGGTGGAGTGATAAGGCAGAAGCCAGATTATAAGGGGTTAAGAAGGGAGCGGAGAGAAAATGGAGACATCTCTAATAGATGGCCTTTTGAGAAGTTTAGGTACAAAAGAAAGAAGAGATATAGGATGACAGTTTGCAGGGATGGTAGGTTTTTTTTTTTTTTTGCTTTTTGGTGAGGTGATTGGGTTAAGTAACTTGCCTGGGGTGACACAGCTAGTAAGTGTTAAGTGTCTGAGTTTGGATTTGAACTCAGGTCCTCCTGACTCCAAGGCCAGAGCTCTATTCACTGCGCCACCGAGCTGCCGAGCTGCCCCTGATGGAAGGACTGCATAAGGGTTTCTTGAGGATAAAGGAAACACTGGCATGTTTGTTGGAAATAAGGAAGGAGCCAGCAGATAGGGAAAAACTGAAAATGAGTGAAAGACTGAGAATAACAAAGGGGACAATTGGATGGAGGAGACAGGATAAAATGAAAACACTTAAAGAAGTAAAGGGGTTAGCCTTAATAAGGAATAAGGTCACCTCATCATGTGAGACAGGAGTAGAGAAGAAAGTGGCAGAAGGCACCTGAGTGAAAGGAGATGAGGAAGAGGGGGAAAGAGGAAGCTCATGGTGAATGGCCTCAACTGCAAGGATCTCTGGTAGTGGGGGAAGCCACGAGAGGTTTAAAGAGGGATGAAATGGTCTGAAAGAACCACTAAGGAGAGTACATGAGTTGATAAGGCAAGTAAACGATAATTATGTAGTAGCAGTGAGGGTCCGGTGGAAGTTTTGTAACGGCAATTTGTTGGGGACCTAGTCAGAAGGGCTGAAGCTTGGCAGGGCCTAATCAATGAAATGATAAGTGAGCTAGGAATTCAAGAGAGGAGTACAGTGTAAAGCTGAATTGGTTCACCATGGGGTCAAGATGGGGAAATGAGGAAAGAGTGGCTAATGCAAGGGAGATAACCTGGGAGAGAACTGAGGTCAAGGCACTGGAGGTCACAGTGCAGATAAAGAGTAGGGTTGATAAGGAAAGGCAGAGGGAGTGGTGAAAAATCAACAGATTATGGTCAGATAAGGAGACTTCAGAATTCTTGAACACAGAAGTGGTACATTTGTGATTGAGGGTAAGATCAAGGTTATGACTGTCTTTGGCTGAGGTGGGGTGGAGAAATAAGTCATGGAAGGAGAGTCAACATATATAAAGTCTCCTATATGAGGGCAGGAGTTGGAGAGGAGAGAACTGTGAGCCAGGTACCAAATTCATCGAGTAGGTGATAGAGTTAGAACTCGAACTGGGAGGGAATAAAAAGTGAGGAGATGAAGTAGAAGCAAAGACTTGACTTATGTGAATTTGGCTATGAAAGAGATTTCTCCAGTAATAGCTTGAGAGTACAGCATGGTCAAGTAAAAGGTTTTTTTGGTTTGTTCTTTAAGGAAGGAGGAGTGTCTGGGCATAAAAAAACATTGCAGCAAGGAAGAAACCAGAGAACAAATTGTTAATAAAGATACAGGGCAGAGGAGGAGAGGGGAATAGAGGCGAGTCTCCTGAAAGTTCATTTATTAGTTTAATTAACAGAAATCTATTTAGTCTTCCTCTTATCCCCACCCTATTGGGGAGTAAGAAACAGAAAAGAAAACAGAAAAGGAAAATTTATTTGTAACAAATATGCATAGACAAGCAAAACAGACTCCTACATTGGCTAAATGCAAATATGTATGTAAATACATGTCTCATTTTGCACTCTAAATCCATCATCTCTATGTCAGAAGGCAGATAATATGTTTTATCATTTCTCATCCAGAATCACAGATGGTCATTGCATCGATCATGGTTCTTAGAGCTTTCAAAGTTGTTTGTCTATACTTTTTTTGTATAAATTATTCTGGTTCTGCTTACTTCACTCTGCATCAGTTTATGTCTTTCTCTATCTCTTTGATATCATCTATTTTCTCATTCTGGCGGCCAGGTGGCCACAGAAGATAGAGCGCTAGGCCTGAAGTCAGGAAGATTCATCTGGGCAAATCACTTCGTCTTGGTTTCCTCATCTGTAGAAAGAGCTAGAGAAGGAAGTGGGAAACCACTTCAGTATCTTTGCCAAGAAAACCCAAAACAGGATGACAAAAAGTTAGAACGCGACTGAACATTTCCTAATTTGTTACAGTACAATAATACTACATTACATTCATTTGGTAACTATTAAAATTTTATGTGGAAATCAAATGATTTCAACCATTTCTTAATTGATGGCTATCTCTTTATTTTCAAGTTTTTTGTCACAACAAAAAAAGCTGGTATAAATTTTTTTGTATATATGGGACCTCTTCCTCTTTAATTTCTGGAATCTAGGGTTTTAGCAGGGAAAAGTTCTACATCTTCCTCAGAGGGAGAAAGAAACAATGGATGGAACTGAAAAGAATAAATTTATGCTGAACGGCCTCTATTTTCTCAGGAAAGTGTAAAACAAAGTCCTATGCAGAGAGGGATATATGAGGAGTTGGTGTGGATGGTTTGAGGAGAAGAGACATGCTACTGTGGGGAATGCAATAGCAAGCCAAATAATACAAATCTACATCACATTCCTTATTCCAGAAAAGGTGCATGTAGACCAAGTGTAAGTATATGGAATTATTCAATGTCTGCATATATATGCATTATATGAGCTTGTTTTCAAGGTAAAATCTTCATGTAAAGCAGAATGTTATTCTCTAACACCTTAATTTATGTGTTTTATAAAGTTAAATGTTCCTGAATCTGATTTTCTTAAATTGGGACAAATCTGTATTTAAAGAATTATGCTGCAGAAGATACTAATGTCTGATGTATATTCATTAAATTACTTCAGAATTATAGAGGTTTATTTTAAAATACTGAAATTAATTTTTTAATCAGATAAATTAACATCAACTCTAATTAACATAGCCTTCATCATTTGATTTCCAGATAAAATTTTAAGTTACCAAATGACAGAAGAAAAAGAATGCAACAAAACCATTTTTGATCATCTAGCCCCACATTCTCCGCAATAAAACACACATTCCCTATAACTACATTAAAATGTTCAATGCATTATATGAAAAATGCTGAAGCATTTATTCTTAATTAACAACACTATAATGTTTGAATGTTTCAAAAAATAAAGTCTTCAAATAGCAGAATAAAGTATGTACTACTTTATGTATCCAGGCATATAACTCAATTTAAAAAACTTAGTTCTAAAATAATGTGTCATTAAAGCCAAATTTCATTTTCTATTTAATAATAAACTTCATAGTAACATAAAAGTGTATTTCTAGACAATATATGAATAGGTGTAATATATAAAATATATCTATAGATTTACAAACTTTTATAGATTACTCCCATTCATGAGAGGTGAGTCTCTTGTAACAAATAAAACAATTAAGCAAAACAATAGTGACCTCTCCTGAAAGTATATTTAATAATTTTTTTAATTAGCAGAAATCTATTTACTCTCCTCACCTCCCACTCCACTGAAAAAAACAGAAATGAAAAATAGCTTGTAACAAATATGCACAGACAAGCAAAAATCACATTGTCTAAATGCTAATACACATACATACATATATACCTATATAATATCTACATATCTAACTCTGCACTCTAAATCTATCACTTCTGTATCAGGTCAATAATATATTTCATCATTAAGCCTCTAGAATCATGGCTGATAATTGTATTGATATATATGTTCTTAACATATATTATACAAATTTATGTAGATTAAACCTTTATTATGGGAGCTGAAGATATTTAAGAAAAGCACACATAGATACCTGAAGAACAAGTATTTCTTTCATCATAAACATATGATCTAATGCAGGGGTGGGAAACCTGGGGCCTCTAGGTCACATGTTGACCTCTAAGAAGTGTGGCCCTTTGACTGAATCCAAACTTCACAGAACAAATCCTTTTTTGTTCTGTAAAAGTTGAACTGAGTCAAAAGGCAGTAATCAAGCACCTAGAAGGCCACATGTGGCCTCGAGGCCACAAGTTCCCCACCCCTGATCCTAATGTCTTCACTTTGGTTTTATTACTTAACTAAACATATCTATAAATCAAAGAGAAAAAAGGATCAATTGTAACATATAATCTAGACAAATCAAAGCAAAAAGGGAGTGAAAATCTAAGATTCAATCAAAAGGAAAATTTCTTTTTAAGTTATGGATTGCTGAAATGATAAATGGCTCTTCTTTACATACTTTTGTGCTAAGAGAATTAGTACTGGCCTTTAATATCTTAAGACAACTAAAAAGCAGGCATACAACTAAAAAAAGAAATAATGAAACCTCTAACTGGAGATAGGAGATAAGTTGAGTTAAACAAAAATAGCTTGTAATTGTATGCTACTTTGGAGCTTTTGGGGTCTGGGTCATCCTACGCGCATTATTCCCTTTCCTTTCAAAGACCTATCTAATGCTTGGATTCCTGGTGCTGATACTTAGCTGTATAACCACTGGCAAATCACTTAACCTCTTTAAGAATCAGGTGCACAGTGGACAGAATGCTGGACCTGGAATCCAGAAGACCTGAGTCCAAATTTTGTTTCAGTTGCACAAGCTGTGCATGGCAATGGGGTGACGGGTTGGGAGCAATAATAGCACGTACCTCTCACCGGGTCAGCAAGTTAAATGAAATAATGTTTTTAAAGCATTTATCAAAACTTTAAGAGTTATATAAAGGCTAGCTAACTATTATTACTAAAAGCATTTTGCAAACCTTAAAGTGTCAAATAAATGCTATTATTATTCATTATTATTATCACAGCTATCATTATTGTAAACACAGGTAGGTGACACAGTGGGTACAATGCAGGAGCCAGGAACATTTATCTTCTTTTTGAATTCAAATCTGGCTGTGTTACCCTGGGCGAGTACTTAACCCTATTTGCCTCAGTTTTCTCATCTGTAAAATCAACTAGAGAAGGAAATAGCAAACCACTCTAGTATCTCTGCCAAGAAAACTCCAAATGGGGTCATCAAGAGTCAGACATGACTGAAAATAACAGAATAACAACAACAAACAACCATTAACACTTGTATTACCTGTGCAACAGGCGTGGTGTGAGGAAAGTTGTAAATCCTAAAGCACTATTTAAAAGTGTATTATTATTATTATTATTATTATTATTATTATTATAAAGATTCAGCAAGAAAAGCAATATAGCATGGAGGAACAAGCAACAAGATAAGAGTAATAGGAAGCCAACACAGCAGAACAAAATGCATAAAGAAGACAGGTGCAATTATTGCTACAGAGACAGAATATTGTGGTGGGAAACCCTGGATTTGGACTCAGAGGACCTATGTTCAAATTCTGGCTCTGCCAATTACCTGTGTGATAAGGGGCAAGTACTCATCTTCGCCTTGCTTTCCTCTTCCACAAAATGAGAGGGTTTGACTAAGATGACCTATAAGATTGCATCCAACTTAAATCTATGATCTTGAGAGCAGATCCACCTTTCTGCCCAAGCTGGGCCTTCCTGTAGATGGCAGGTTTGTATAAAAGGGTCAGTGAGATTAGCCCTCACAAAACTGCAGGCACAGAGCTCCAAGGACAAGAAGAGGTGTCAGGCAGGATTCCCATCATCAAGGCAGCACAACTAAAGTGGTCTCAGGTTCCTAGTCTAGAATTTTCCTTCCTACATCCATGTAATCCTACTGTGTCACTTATTCCCTTAATGAATCCAGGAATGTGGTATGTATTTGGTGGGGGTGGGAGGGAATGTACATGTCTCACATTAAATGTATTTTCACACATTAATAATTGTGCTACTAAACTGCTTCAGGCTCTGTGTGTGTATGTATATCTATCTATCTATCTATCTATCTATCTATCTATCTATCTATCTATCTAATCTCCAGCATTTCAGGGAATGCCCTGTACTAAGTTGATATCTTCAGGCTCAGTGGTAATTGAGGACATTCTGAAGATACCTTTGCATGTACAGCACCATTTAACAACTACACATAATGTGAAAGACCTGAGTTCATGTCTAGTCTCTATCACTTACTCGTTTGTGACCTTATGCAAGTCACTGAAATTTCAATTAATTTATCTACATATTGAGAATATCATTACTTGCATAAGTAACCATATAGCAGTTTTCTGAACCCTAGAATATACTTTCCTAGGAAACATGAAGCAATAGGCAAAATTACTGGATATTTGAGCACAACTACTCTATAAATCAGTCAGCTAGGTGATGCAGTGAATAAAGTGCTGGGCCCAGAGTCACGAGGACTCATCTTCATGAATTCAAATCTGGCCTCAGATACTTACTAGCTGTGTAAATCTCAGCAAGTCACTGAATCTTGTTTGCCTCAATTCCTCATCTGCAAAAATGAGCTAGAGAAAGAAATGACTACTCCAGTATCTTTGCCAAGGAAATCCCAAATGGGGTCACAAAGAGTAAGACAGGGCTGAACAACTCTATAAATATTCAGTTTTTGACAAAGTTGAAATCTCATTTAATATGACTGAAATTAACATGGCAAACTGACTCCAAATGACAATGAATAGAGCATCAAATAACATCAAATAACTGAAATATTGTGTGCAAAGTCAAATGTGAATAGATACTCAATACAAGCATGATTTGCTACTCTATATGAGTAGTCCTAAGTGCATAACACAATGCATTGTACACTCCCGTGGTTTCTTACATTTGAAGTGCGTGAAGGTAAACAACCTTTGTATGAAAGTTAGATGTACCATTGTCTATTATATTTCTCTATGTTATTCATTTTGCTAAATATAACAAAATAAGCTAGTTTCAAAAAAAACCCAGAAAATTTAAAAATAGAAATATCATGACATTTCATAATCATTTGAAGTTTTCTAAAATTAAATTAAAATACATGTCATAATTTTTAATTTATAAATTTGCTTTATAATGGATAATTACATAACAGTTTTCAAACAAAAATAAGAGGGACAACTGAAATAACAGAAATACAGAAACAAAAAGCAAAAATCTCAAATCCAGAAAATATGAGCCACTATAATTATCAGTGTGATTCACAAGAACTGTTATTGA